CCTGCACAAATTTTAAGTGTTTCTTTTCCATTGAAGAGAAGAATCTGGGTTAGGGGTTAGGTGCTAGAGGAGAAGGAGTCATTCTCTATAGGACACTGGTATTCTGATGTAACACCATGCCTGGAGCTACACTTTTCTACAGTGGTAGGAAGACTTCCCTATCCTCTCTCTTCTCTTGCCTAAGAGAATTGGAAGTCAGTATCTGAAGCTCAGCATGTGGGGTGTGTGTGTATGTGTGTGTGTGTGTGTGTGTGTGTGTGCGTGCACACGCATGCGCTCGCACTGGCTTGCTCATGTGCTCTGGTCCTGGGGGCTTTAACTCAGGACCTACGTGCTGTCCTTGAGCTTTTTTTGCTCAAGGCTAGTGCTCTACAAGTTGAGGCATAGCTCCACTTGTGGCTTTTTTTTTGTTTGGTAGTTTACTGGAGATAAGCATCTCATGCACTTTCTGTGGGGCTAGCTTTGAACAGTGATCCTCAGATCTCAGCATCCCGAGTAGTAGGATTACAGGCGTGAGCCACCAGTGCCCAGCCAGCACAATACATGGTTTTTGTTGTTGTTGTTGTTGTTGGTCATGGGGCTTGAACTCTGGGCTTGGGTGCTGTCCCTGCGCGTTTCAGCTCAAGGCGAGTGCTCTACTGCTTGAGCTACAGTGCCATTTCCGGTTTTCTAGTGGTTTATTGGAGATGAGTCTCATGGACTTTCCTGCCCCAGCTGGCTTTGAACCGAGATCCTCAGATCTCAGCCTCCTGAGTAGCTAGGATTACAGGCGTGAGCCGCTGGCACCACACAGCCTTTTTTTTTTTTTTTTGGTCATAAACGTGGCCTTTTTGCCTTTAAGTTTTACTTGTTTGGCAATTAGAATACATGTGTTTTTAAAATACTTTTCTCTTTTGCTAGTCCTGGAGCTTGAACTCCAGGCTTAGGTGCTGTCCCTGAGCTCCTTTTTGCTCACGGCTAGCACTCTACCAGTTGAGTACCAGCACCACTTCCAGCTTTTTCTGTGATTAATTGGAGATGAAAGTCTCATGAGCTTCCCTGCCCAGGCTGGCTTCAAACTGCAATTCTTAGATCTGTCTCCTGAGTAGCTAGGATTACAGGTATGAGCTAACCAGTGCCCAACACAGATATTCATTCTATAATAGGTAGTAACAAGATAGCCAATCATGTCAGGGAGGACTTTAAGGAAAACCTTATTCATATCACAGTTCTTCCTAAAAGCTCTCCTTAACAGATGCTATTGGAATAGTTTCAAGCAGCCACCAGCTCCCCAAGAGAGCTCTTTTCTGTCCACTTATAGTGCTTAGAGTCTGAATCGCTGTTCTAACACTTGATTATTTGGCTTATTTTATTCTTTCACTGTTTCATATGTTAGTTTTGTTTTTCCAGTAAAATTAACTTCTATTTCTCCTTTTGTAGGCCAGTGCTTACTTGTTGGCTGAGTGGTTGCACTGATAAAAGAGCAAACAAAACATAAAAACATAACAAGAAAGCTCTTAGGGAGACTTAAGGCAGAGTATTATATAGAACTCCCATCTAAGCTTCTAATCTTTGAGACATAGCACTGCAGCAGAATCTGCTTGGTCTCTTATAAGCAATACTCATGAATCTTTTGAGAGTTTTTTTTTTTCCATGTGAATTGAAGTCTGTGATATTTTCATCCCTCTAACGAGCTAGCATGCTGTGGATGGGGGATGGGACGTGACACACTAACCTAGCCTGGCACTGCTGGTTACTGCTGGTCAGTACCACTATGTGGCCCATCAAGATATAGGAGTCTAGCCCAGCTTTTGAAGCCAGAGGCTAGTGAAGAAGTTGGTAGAGGATGACTTAAAATGATGTCTCTTCAGATGGTAAAAATGAAGACTGCACTGGAACATTATTTATAAAGGGAGAACAGGAACTTCTAACTCCTTGGAAGGAGAAAGACCTCTTGAAACTTGGAAGACAAAGGAGAGTTCTGTTTCCAAAAGTGTATGGATATCATTATTCCAAGAAGTGATATAGATGGAAAGTACTAAGGAGTTTCAAATCCAATTAGCTTATGTTCATGGATGACAGATCCAGTCTTTCTCTAAGACATATTAAGGATGTTAGAGGATACTCCGATCTTTGGGAATTACTATCAAATCTTCATATAATTTATTCCTGTCAGACAGATCTTCCAGCTTACTTCAGTTATAGAACTAGCATATGGAGTATTTACATTCATTAATTGAAATGTACAAACTGTATTTACTTTTGGTGGTCAACGTGATATTTTGATGTATTTATGTATACATTGTGGAATGTTACCTAAATGTGCTGAGCACATTTATTGTCTACATTTAACAGTTTCCCAGTTTATAGTACATTGTTATTAAATATAGGCACTGTTATATGCAGTGGGTCTCCTGAATTTATTCTTACTTATGGAATTTTTGTTGTCTGTTTGCCAGCATATCTTCAATCACCCCATATTAGGTAAGTATTTTTGAGATAGAGTTTTTTTGTGTTGCCCAGGCTAGTCTTGAACTCATGAGCCCAAGCGAACCTCCTGCCTCAGCCTCCAGAGTAGCTTGGACTACAGGACTACAGGTGTGTACTACCATGCTTGGCTTAGGAGATATTTTTTTAAAGACAGACAACATGGGTGGTAGTTTACAATAGTCATAAATGCTGGCTCTAGATTTCCTCTTATTCTGAGTAGAAAGGACTGCTGGTCCCACATCTGCCTCTCCAGCCACACCCATTCACTAGAGACAACTGGCTGCCAGTAGTAGCCTCATCTCTGGAGGAGAAGAATACAATGGACCTCTTGTGTACTTGTTGACATACAGAGTGGATTGTTGTAGCAGGTGCAGAAGATAGTCTGTGTGGACATTACAGAGACCTTTATCCTTGATGGTGTAGCATAATTCAAATCTAAGTTGTTCTTTGTCTGGTCTACAAGCAGGTGTTAGTTGGACTTGGTTAAGCTTGGATTCTTCAGATCAGGGGGCAACATTAATTTTGAATTTTTTGTGGTGGTGGTTTTACTCACTCTGTATCTTTTTCCTTTATTAAAAAGAAATAAACATGGCTAATCAGCTCTTGTCTTTTAATGGCTTTGATTAAAACCTGAACTCTGAATAGTTTTCAGTCTCAGAGACATTGCTTCTTTGTTTTCAAGAGATCTTATGGGTGGGCAATCTCTAGGAAGGTGGTTGCTTTCTGTTAGTGTGGTAATTTTGCATGGTTTGCTGATGAAACAAAGCCTCATGCTTCTCCTATGTACTTGGGGTTCCTGGTAGGTGGTGGTGATTTTTGTTTCTGAGTTCGCTTTTTGGTTATGTGTGTCCATGAAGGGGAGCAATGGAAAGGAGGGTAATCCACAAGCTAGTGATATGCATGAGCCTTAATTACCCTGAAGCCAGCTGCCAGAACCTTCAGTTCTCAAATTCTCCCCTCCCCTTAGCTTTTAAGAAAAGGAAGTAAATCATTAAAAAGCAAGCTAAGACCAAAGATTGTGTTAAAAGCAAGCAAGCGAACAAGCAAACAAATAAACAAAAGAAGCTACTAAAATTATCTTGCAGGTTCAACAAATATGTTCATCTCATCACAAACTGCTTAGTCTAATATCACAGTTGATCTCATCTCCTCATGCAGTTTTGTGTGGCAAGGAGGCAGGGGAGGATCGCCTGAGGGTTATTCTGAAACAGCAGTAAATATACAATCCAGGGTTAAACGTTTGCCCTGAATAGACTGCAGCTTGCTTACTCCCTATGCTGATGAGGTAAGCTTTTTCCTTAGCTTTACTTTCTCTGCTTTCCCTCTGCTCCTTGCTCATCCACTTATAGTCTGCCTCCAGTGAAGATCTCTGTTTTCAAGGAGAAATGTGCCTCAGGACGAGGATAAAAATAGGTCAGCAATTACTCTTATTGCATATTCCCATTCATTTGGTTTGATATTCAGTTCAGATCAATAAGTGTTTATTGATTTACTTATCTTTGTTCCCTTATATTAGGGTCTAAGAAATACAGAATCATAATGATAATTTTTTTTGTCAGTTCTGTGGCTTGAACTCAAGGGCCTGGGTGCTGTTCCCAAGGCTTTTTGTTTAAGGCTAGTGCTATACCACTTGACCCAAAGCCCCATATCAGGCATTTGGTGGTTAATTGAAGGTAAAAGTCTCATGGACTTTCCTGCTTGAGCTGCTTTTGAACCATGATCCTCAAATCTCAGCCTTCTGAATAGCTAGGATTACAGGGGTGAGCCACCAGTGCCTGGCTGAGATGGTCTTACTCCTTTTTTAATGGTCTTTAGTCACCTACTAGCTGAACTAATTGAGGCGATGAGGTACAGATGTTGCAGAGTCAGTCAGCAGCTCTGAACCTTTTCATTGGTCTTAAAGCATGCTGAGATACCCTGTGTCCAACACTGTGAGCCTGCTTCCTAATTGTTTTTCTTTTGTTTTCCCTTCTCATCAAGTTCAATCCTAATGCCAAATGAGTGGGTATGAAAATTCCTGGGCAGGGAGGGGGGAGGCTGGGAAGGGAGGTGAAGGGTAAACAAAGGAGGAGGCTGCAATGCTTGGTAAGAAATGTACGCATTATCCTGCCCATGTAATTGTAACCCCTCTGTACAGTATTTTCACAATAAAAAAAAAGAATATTAGGTTTGAAAAGAAAAGAAAATTCCTGGGCATTCCCAGAGTAAAAGCAACCTTAGCAGATGTGTGCCTTTCCTGAGGCAGACAAAATGTGGTTCACATAGGCTGATAGTAGGCATAGGTTAACTTGAGGTAGGTTCCCTGAAGCCATCTTTGTATGTTATAGGTGTCACCAGTTATTTAATATGTGTTGAGCTTGTACTGTGTTCAAAACTATCTGTTAGGTGTTTGGGAAATTAGGTAAATATCATGGTCCCTGTCTTTGATGTACTGTTGATTCTGTTGTAGAGACCAGATGGGTATCCTTGTAACATTTGGAGAACAATATAGGGCTAGTATAATGAACTGTTGAATTACTTGTTTTCTTTAGGTGTCGCTACCTGGCTGCTCAGCTGTCTCCTGCCATTCCTGTGTTTGCTGCCATGCTTTTCCTTTTCTCTATGGCCACACTGTTGAGGACTAGTTTCAGTGACCCTGGAGTGATTCCTAGGGCACTACCTGATGAAGCAGCTTTCATAGAAATGGAGATAGGTAAGTCTTCCAAACAGATGGCAACTTTTGATGGTTGTCATCTTTTTAATAAGGGAATGGAGTCATAAAAGTAATTGCAGATTCATAGCCTACAAGCCTTTTCTCTCTAAGATCCGGAGTCTGAGATCACAAATGACTGCTCTATGAATTTGGTAAAGCAGGCATAGCAAGCTTATAAAGTCTTACACTGTTTTTTCCCCCCATGGTAGGCTGCATTCCAGAGAGGATTTGTTAACTAAGGTCTGGGTGCATTGTTTCCAAGAGGATTTTTTTTACTTTTTGGGGGGAGGGTCACTACACATTTGTTTTATTGATAAGTGCCATAAACTTCCCCCACTAAGTATTATATGCATGCATATACATACAATTTGAGATGTAATTTTAGGGACTCATACATCTTCTGAAGAACATTCACAGGTCTCCTTACCAAGAATTCCTGTTTTAGGGAACAAGCAAGGTGAGAAGGAGCAGCTATGGTACAGGAACAACTCAAAATTCTAGGAGAGGTACAGGAGGTAATTTTAAACTCAGAACTGTACAGTCTATAGTGTAGGGTAAGGGTCTTTGTGACAGAGATTGAAATGCTACACTACCTAGAGCTATGATAGCTTCATGAATTAAAGTAGAACATCACAAGGCTAGAGAGAAGGATATCCTGGTTGTTCTCAATGTGAAAGAAGTCTTGATACAAGTACTAGGAGAGAGTGGGATCCTACCGAACTAGCAGCAGTGTCTATCGAAATGTTTTTCAAGTTTGCACCAAAGTAGTTTGAGTCAGAAAGTGATCTAGGACTTGTAAGGCTGAGAAGCTATGCTAGTCGAGTACCAGTCTATATCTGCCCTATATTTATTTGAAATGCTTTGAAGATATCCATGTCTTTGTAATTTTTTTGGCAGCACTGTGGCTTGAACTCAGGGCCTCATACTTGCCAGACAGTCATTGTATTCACTTGATGTACTGTGCCTGTTTTTTGAATAGGATCTTGCTTTTTGCCTGGACTGTGATCCTCCCATTTATACCTCCCCATGTCACTGGAATGACATGGTGACACATGTGGCAAATGCCACTGGAATGACATGTGGTGGCACATGCCACCACACCCAGCTCTTGGTTGAGATGGAATCTCAAGTCATGATCCCTAATCTACTTCTGAAGTAGCTAATATTACAGGCGTGATTCACTGGTGCCTGCTTATTAGCACATTTCTTTTTGAAAAATTTCAGACCATTTTAGGTGAGTTAAGGAGAAATTGACTTGCATATATATGAACTGAATGGGTGGGAAGGGAATAGTGGAGAGAAAGCAGAAGCCAGGTATGATGTATAAATAGAGTCCTGGGGAGAGCTAAGGGTAGGACCAGAGGTAATTAAGTGCCACACATGAGGGAGAATTATGAGCTGTTTTTTTTTTCCATCTGGATTCTTTTTTCTTTAATATAAGTTTATTGTTATTATTAAGGTATCATACAGAGGGGTTACCATTTCATATATCAGGTAATGAATGCATTCCTTCCTTTGGACAATGTTGCCCCTTCCTTTGCTTTCCCTCAGTTTCCCCCTCCTGTCCCTGCCCACAAGTTGCATAGTTCATTTTCAACATAGTATATACTGAATACCATGCTTGCATTTGGTTCACTCTTCCTCCCTCTTCTTCTAGATTATTTTATAGACTGCTTTCTGTTCTCATATGAAGAAACCGAAGGTCAAAGCAGTACCTTGACTAGTCTTTGGCATCTCACTATAGATTCTCAACATGATTAGTCGTTTTCTCCTCCATTACTGGGCCTGTGGCTCAAACTCAAGCTGTCACATTGTGACCTTTGCATTTATCATGGCACTTTCAATAGAAGAACATATTCTTTTTGTTTGTTTTGTTTTGGTGTTACTGGGAATTGAATACATAGCATTCTACCACTTGAACCATGCTGCTAGTTCCTTCTTAAATTAGTTAATTTTGAAATGGAGTTTCACTTTATGACCAGGCTGGCCTGGGCAGTGATCCTCTTGCTTGGGAATGAGAGATGTGTACCACTGCACTCAGCTACTGGTTGAAACGGAGCCTTGTAAACTTCTTTTTGCCTGAGTTGACCTCAAACTGTGATCTCCTGATCTTCACTTATCAACAAGCTAGTATTACAGGCATTGTACCCTGCTTTAGAAGAGTATATTCTTAGTTAATGCATATATTTATGTTAGCAAGTTTTTGTCAGCTTTATATTCAGCCATATATTTAATATTCTATGGAGTAGGAAGAGAAGAAATTGTATGATTTTTTGTGTATGTGTCTTAGTGTCTCTGGGAGATTGAAATATGATCTCTGTCTCCCAGGTACCCTAATATAAAGGATATGCAAAGAAACATTAAGATGGCATGCTGGTACTTATGTCATTCTCTAATGAATTAGCTAAGACTTGTGACACACTGTTATTGTTTGATTTCACAGCACCTACCCCACTCTGCAAAAAAGGAAAAATGTTCCATATGGCAGATATTTTTAAAATAAAATTAATTGAAATATATTCTGTTTTTAGAATTATACTGCATAGCAAGGGAGCAATGAGATGGCACTCTCACATGCTGTGGATGGGCAGGCCTGGAAGTCTGTCTGGGAAGCAGTTTGTTGCCAAACTTTTAAATCTTATGAGCTGTGAGGGTTCATATTCTCTGGCCTAGAAATTAAGGATTCATTTTTTGTGTTTGCCAGTCGTGGGGCTTGAACTTTGGGCCTGGACACTGCCCCTGAGCTTCTTTTGCTCAAGGCTAGTGCTCTACCACTTGAGCCACAGCTCCACTTCTGGCTTTTTGGTAGTTTATTAGAGATAAGAGTTTCACAGACTTTTTTGCCCTGGCTGGCTTCAAACCTTGGCCCTCAGAGCTCAACCTCCTGATTAGCTAGGATTACAAACATGAACCATGAGTGCCTGGAAAATTAAGGATTTTTTGAGGGTTTAGCTAAAAGACATAATCCAGACATTTAAGGCAATTTACTATAGGAGGACTTCAATTTTATCTTTCCCTCCTATTTTCTCTTTAATAGGAATATAGCCATTTTAATGCTAGCAACTTTGTACATCACTCCTCAGACTTTACCATGCTCTTCTTTCAGCTTTAAAATAATTTTAAGCCAGGCTCTGGTCACTCACACCTGTAATGCTAGCTACTCAGGAGGCTGAGATCTGAGGATCATGGTTCAAAGCCAGCCCAAGTAGGAAAGTTTATGAGACTCATGTCTAATTAACCACCAAAAAGGTGAAAGTGGAAGTGTGGCTCAAGTGGTAGAGCACTAGCCTTGAACAAAAAACAACAACAACAACATAAAGCTCAGGGACAGCACTCAAACCCAGGACCAGCACACACAGAAAAGAGACGTTGTATACCATTGAATAAATGTCTTTGTAATTTTGATAAGCCCCTAGTGGTAGAATTACTGAATTACAAAGTACTGAACTAACTGCTGCCATATTGTTCACTGGTAAGGTAGAAGAATAACTTTTGCAACCCTAGATTATAATGGGTGTTTTTATACTTTTTTTGGGGGGGGGGTCTAGTCGTAGGTCCTGAACTCTGGGCCTGGGCACTGTCCCTCAGCTCTTCAGCTCAAGGCTAGCGCTCTACCACTTGAGCCACAGTGCCACTTCCAGCTTTTTTCTTTTTTTGCTTATGTGGTACTGAGGAATTGAACCCAGGGCCTCAGGCATGCAAGGCAAGCGCTCTACCATTGAGCCACCTTTCCAGCCCTGGGTATTTTTATTCTTTTTAATATTTGTAAATATAGTAAGTGGAAATGCTATCTTTTGTTTTAATTTAATTTCTCTGATTATTAGTAAAAATTGGGTATTTAATATATTTTTGGCATTTTTCTTTATGATTGCTTTTCTTTGTAATCAGACAACCAAGTTTGAAGAAATACTTTTTTGTCAGTTGTGGGGCTTGAACTCAGGACCTGAGTGCTATCCCTGAGCCTCTTTGTACTCAAGGCCTAGTGCTGTGCCGCTTAAGCCACAGCACTACTTCCAGTTTTTGAGTCATTAATTGGAGATAAGAGTCTCACAGGGACTTTTCTGCTCTGGCTGGCTTTGAACCATGATCCTCAGATCTCAGCCTCCTGAGTAGCTAAGATTGCAGGTGTGGGCCACCAGTGCCTGTTAAGAAATACCTTTTTACTTATATATTTCAGAATTGCATGGCATTCAGTGGAATTTTGGGTGATACTGTAAAAGGTTGAAATTCTAGTCTTGAAATACTCATCTAAAGAAGACATTGGACTCACTAGATACTATGTTGAAAATGATCTGTACAACTTGTGGGTGGGGATGGGATGGAAAAGCTGAGCGAGAGCAGGGGCAAGGTGGAAAGGGTGACACTACCCTGACTTAACTGACTTATGTGACTGTAACCCTTCTACACATCACCTTTATAATAACAATAATAAATAAAAAATTAAAAAGTCTTCAGAAACAAAAAGAAGACATTGGACTGGAGAATACGTTTTGCGTGTGTATGTGTGTGCTGGTACTGGGACTTAAAGTCAGGGCCTCATACTCTTGCTCACATTTTTTGCTCATGGCTGGCACTCTACCACTCAAGCCACTTCTCCAGTCCGACATTTTTCTGGTTAATTGGAAAAGAATCTCATGGACTTTTCTAATCAGACTGGCTTTAATTGTGATCCTAAGATCTCAGCTTCCTGAATAGGATTACTGGCTGGAGTCATTAGCACCTGGCACTTGGGAATCTTTGGTGACCACCTCCCCCTCACTGTTTCTGGAAATGTGGTAAGACTTTGAGCTCAAATAATGTCTAGCAATGAATGAAACTGTCTTTGTTGATTTACAGAAGCTACCAATGGTGCGGTTCCCCAGGGCCAGCGACCACCACCTCGTATCAAGAATTTCCAGATAAACAACCAGATTGTGAAACTGAAATACTGTTATACATGCAAGATCTTCCGACCTCCCCGGGCCTCTCATTGCAGCATCTGTGACAACTGTGTGGGTGAGTAAAACCAAGGGGATGTTGCTTGAGGGAAAGGCTGAGCTGAACAGGGAGTGATGTCAGGGTGGTCACAAATTTTTGGGAAAAGTCAAAGGAGGTGAGAATATAGATTCAGATTGTTAACAAAATAGATTTAGATAGAAAAAAAGCTCCTGAACTTAAAAATCAACAGTACTTGAGTAGATCAAATCACAAGTGGCTCTCAGTTTAAAATAAAAAAAAAACACAAAACCTCTTTGGTAAGTGGGAAACTAAACTGTTTGTGAAATCTACATTTTCTTCTATGGGATTTATGTTATGTGGGGCCCATCTAACCCATGGGAGGAGGGAGGAGCATCATAGTCCACTGGAGGGCAGTATTGAGGAAGGAAGGTCTATATGAGAAGTAGTATTCCCAAGAAGAGGATGGGTGCTAGCATTCATGGAATTTCTATTATATACCAGGCACTGTGCTAAGCACTCTGTTGTTCCCTCATTTGGGACTTGTTGCAACTCCCTGAAATTCCCATTTTACAGATAAGGAACTAGTAAATCATTTTGTGTGAGTTCATGAAATTAGCATGAGATAATGCTGGACCAGCTCTGATGGCAAAGCCTTTCATTTTTTTGTGTCTGTTGATACTGTAAGCATGACTGGTATAGCTGTACTGAATACCACATCTATGCAGTTTAGTTGTACACATTACATACTGTGTGCTAAATCCTGGGAAAGATGAGACATGGACAGTAAATGTACTTCTTGATGGGCATATGTATGACACTGCTGATGTTTTCAATTCTACCATACATGCATACATTCTGTATGCATATAGCATGCCCAGAGTCCTGGCTTTCCTCATATTAGCCACATCCTTAGGTAAAGTTTGGGGAGATGCATCTTAATTTTTATAATGAAAATTGAAATGTAGGTAAAATTTTATACATCAAAACTCATTTAAAATGGATCAGAAAAATAAAGAATGTCTTATATGAAGGTTTCATAAAGAATCATTTCTGCTTATTCATATTCTTAAATATAAATAACTCACAAAAGTTGATGTTTTCTTGTGCTGGTCCTAGGGCTTGACCCCTGTGCCTGAGAGCTTTCCCTTAGCTTTTTTTTGCTCAAGGCTAGCACTCTACCACTTGAGGCACAGCTCCACTTCTGGTGTTCTGGTGGATAATTGGATATAAGAGTTTTATGGACCTTCCTACATGGTTTGGTTTTGACTCTGATCCTCAGATCTCAGCCTCCTAAGTAGTGAGGATTATAAGCATAAGCCACCAGTGCTTGGCAAAAGTTTGATTTTTCTTTTTAAAAAAGTACTAATATTCTAGTAGAAATGTGGACACTTCACAAATCAAGAAATATATTACTGGGCTGGGAATGTGGCTTAGCAGTACAGTGCTTGTGTAACATGTATGAAGCCCTGGGTTTGAGTCCTTAGTACGAAATAAACATTGAAAAGGCCAGAAGTGATGCTGTGGCTCTGGTGGTAGAATGCTAGCCTTGAGCAAAAGGAGCCCAGGGACAGTGCCCTGGCCCTGAGTTCAAGCCTCAGGACTGGCAAAAAAAAGAAAAAGAAAAAAGGAAATATATTAATATGGAAAAATGTTCATCCCTACTTGTAATCAAAGAAAGATATATTAAACAGGATTTTTTTTTTCTGGTCCTATGTCTTGAACTCGGCCTGGGCACTGTCCCTGGGCTCCTTTTGCTCAAGGCTAGCACTTTACCACTTGACCCACAGTGCCACTTACAGCTTTTTTTGTGATTAATTGGAGAAAAGAGTCTCACAGACTTGCCTGCCCAGGCTGGCTTTGAACCACACTCTTCAGATATCAGCCGCCTGAATAACTAGGATTACAGGTGTGAGCCACTGGTGCCCCACATCAGGATGCTTTTTGAAGTCTAGAAAATTAGCAAAGAAACCTGATAAACTTTAGCTCTGTACTGGTATTAGTATAAATTGGGAAAAACTTTCAGTCAGGCAACCTAATAAGATTCATCAAAAGCAAAAGGACTGGGAATGTGGCTTAGCATGCATGAAGCCTTGGGTTCAATTCCTCAGTACCACCTAAACAGAAAAAGCCAGAAGTGGTGCTGTGGCTAACATGGTAGAGTGCTAGCCTTGAGCACAGAGAGGCTCAGGGACAGTGCCCAGGCTCTGAGTTCAAGCCCCCCCAGGATTGGCAAAAAAAAAAAAAAAAAAGCCTTAACCCAGCCAGGTGCCCGTGGCTCATGTGTGTAATCCTAGTTACTCAGGAGGCTGAGATCTGAGGATCACAGTTAAAGCCAGCCTGGGTAGAAAAGTCCATGAGACTCTTATCTCCAATAAACCACCAGAAAACCAGAAGTGGTGCTATGGCTCAAGTGGTAGAGCGCTAGCCTTAAACTGAAGAGCTGAGGGACAGTGCCCATGCCCAGAGTTCAAGGCCCATGACCGACAAAAAAAACCCCTTAACCCCTTTGTTAAATGGCACCTCCTGGAAGTGGTGCTGTAGCTCAAGTGGTAGAACGCTCCCCTTGAGCTAAAGAGCTGAGGGACAGTGCCCAGGCCCAGAGTTCAAGCCCCACGACTGACCAAAAAAATAAAAAAAAAAGAAAAAAGAAAAGAAAAGAAAATGGCACCTCCTTTGTACAACTACTTAAAAAATCATGCATACCCTTTGATTCCAGTGATACCTTTTGTGGTGACTTGATCTCAAGAAATTGGTGATACATCACTGGGTGTGCTAGTGCACTACTCTACTTTTAGTACTTGGGAGGCTGAATTAAGATCACAAATTGTGACTTTCAAGCTAGCCTGGATTATAAAACATGGTTTAGGCTAGCCTGGACCACATAGTGAGAGAACTTGTCTCAACCCTCTTCCTTGCCTGTCCAAAACAGAAATTGAAGCTATAGTGTAAGATTTAAGGATGGAACTGTATTATGAAAAATTGGGAAAAAACTATAATAGTTCAACAATAATGAGTGGTCAGATGAATTCTAGGAGGTTCATACAATAAGCTATGGAAAAAACACATACCAGAAAGCTAAATGGCAAAAACAGGAGATAGGATATATTTACAGTGTTGTCTCAGTTGCATATTTAAAAAGTGAGCTGGGCACTGGTGGCTCACACCTGTAATTTTAGCTACTCAGGAACCTGAGATCTGAAGATTGCAGTTTGAAGCCAGCAGGGCAGGAAATTCCATAAGACTTTTTTCATTTTTAAAATTAATTTTTAATCTTTATTTTTTTCAGGTCCTGGGGCTTGAGCTCAGGTCCTGGGGCTTGAGCTCAGGACCTGGGCACTGTTTTTGCAGTTTTTTTTTTTTTTTTTTTTTTTGCTCAATGCTACCTCTTTGCTACTTGAGCTACAGCTCCCCTTCTGACTTTTTTGGTGCTTAGAGATCAGAGTCTTGCAGACTTTTCTGCCCGGACTGGCTTTTCTGCCCGGACTGGCTTCATACCTCAGTGCTCAGTCCTCAGCCTCCTGAGTAGCTAGGATTACAGGCATGAGCCACCAACACATTCCCATGAGATTGTTATCTCCACTAAACTATCAAAAAGAAGCTAGAAGTAGAGCTGTGGCCCAAGTGGTAGAGCACTAGCCTTGAGCCAATGGAGCTCAGGGACAGAGCCTAGGCCCTGAGTTCAAGTCCTCATACTGGCACAAAAAAATTATCTATCTATCTATCTATCTATCTAGAGATCTACAAAGAAATCTATAAGGAGATGCCCAAGAATTATTATAGTTCATTATCTATAAATTGTGCAATTTTGAATTATTTTATTTTCATCATTTTTAATTTTAGTTTTTCAAGTTTTCTACAATGAGTATGTATTACTTGAAAGTGACTGAAATACTGTTAAAAAACATGCAGCTGTATACATCTATATTTTCCAAATATTTTATATGGCAAGTTTGCTTAAACTGTGGCTATATCTAGACCCAACCCTATCTAGACCCAACCCTAACCATTTAGCATGTCTTTCTTATTTTCATTTCCCTTCACTTTTCTGAAAAAATTTATTGTAGCCCTTTAACCAAAGAAGTATCATTCTTACAGTTGTATATTTGATCACTACATAGCATATATAAAAGTGATTTCTCGGGGCTGGGAAAGTGGCTCAGTGGTAGAGTGCTTGCCTTGCATGCATGAGGCCCTGGGTTCGAGTCCTTAGCACCACATAAGCAGAAAAAGCTGGAAGTGGTGCTATGGCTCAAGTGGTAGGGCGCTGGCCTTGAGCTGAAGAGCTGAGGGACAGTGCCCAGGCTCAGAGTTCAGGTCCCATGACCAGCAAAAAAAAAAAAAAGTGATTTCTCTTTTCATTTACATAACATTTGTTTAAGAAAATATGGGAAGTACAAAAATATAAACAGTCCTAAATTTACTGTCCATTTTGTTGTTTTTTTCTTCTAGTTCTCTGTCCCTTGTGAAATGAGACTGCACATAAGAATTAATAATCCTGCTTTTATGATTTAACATTATATCCTGAACTTTCTTCTAAATATTTAATAAATATTTTTGAGTATATTACTTTAGTGACTGTAATGCATCATATGGTTAGATTCTAGCTTATTTAGGCAATCTACTATTATTCAGTATTTTTCATGGTTCTATTTTATTCATGACTCTAAAACTGCAATCAAAGTTATTAAGCTTAGGATGTGGAGAAATTGGAAGCTTCACATAAAATGGCATAGCCTGGTGGAAGAAAGTTTGACAATTACTCAAAACTAATTAACTGTAGGATTACCATGTTGCCCAGTAGTTTTACTCCTGAGTACTTATTTATATTAGGCTTTTCAGGCTACTGTAACAAAATACTGTAGCATGGGTATCTTAATCAACATAAATTTATTTTCTCACAATTCTAACCAATAGGGTTAGTTTCTATTGAGATCTCTCTTTGATTTGCAGATGGCTTTCTTCTGGCTGTTTACACTTGGATTTTTCTCTGTGATAACACACTCCTTCTGTATCATCTTCTTAGGAGGACACTAGACCTATTGGATTAGGGACCCATGCTTATGATCTCATTTAGCCTTTATAATTTCTTTAAGGTTCCTATTTCCAAGTACAGGCACATTGGAGATTAGAACTTCAATATATAAATTGGCCAGGGGGATATAATTCAGCCCATGACAATACACCAAATAATTTGAAAACTATTCAAAACATGCTGTATACAAATGTTCATAGCTTTATTTGTTGGTTTGTTTATATTAGCATACATTGATTACATAAGGAGGTAGTTTTCATCATGACATGCATAGCCATGCAGAGAATGTCTTCCACTCTGTCATACCCTTCTCTCTGTCTTACCCACTTTCCCCTTCCTAAAATAATGCCAACCTATTGCTTTGCTCTGTTTTCATACATGAAACAATCTACTTGACCACCATATTCATCTCTATCCACTGTCTTTTTAAGCCCCACACCCTCCTGGTAGTTAATACTTCCCTCCTCTAAAAGAGCATAGTATCATGACTGTTTATAATAGCTAACAGGAGGAATCAACCTAGTGCCCATCAACTGATGAGTGAACTAAGAAAAACATACAATTTAATCTTATTCATGTAAAATAAGAATGATATACTGAAATATGCTAAAACATGGAGGAACTTTAAAAACAATGCTATGTGAAAGAAGGCAGACACATGAGGATGACTATTGTTTGATTCCACTTATATGAAATACCTAGAATAGGCAAATTCATAGACACAGAAGACTCAAGGTTGCCAGAGTGTGGGGGTAGGGAGGCTGGAAAATGACTGTTGAATGGCTATAGAATTTTTATCTGGGTTAAAAAAAATAGTGATGATGGTTGTATAACATTGTACAACTAATACCCTGAATTGTACACTTAAAATGGTTAAAAATGGCAACTTACATGTTATAGATATTTTACCAGGATAAAATTTTAAATAAAAAATTGAATTAAGCTGGGAGCCGGTGGCTCATGCGTGAAATCCTAGCTACTCAGGAGGTTGAGATCTAAGGATTGCAGTTCAAAGCCAGCCCAGGCAGAAAAGTCTGTGAGACTTATTTCTAATAAACTACTCAGAAAACACCAGAAGTATCACTGTGGCTCAAAGTGGTAGAGGAGTAGTCTTGAGAGAAAAAGCTCAGGGATAGTGACTAAACCCTGATTTTAAGCCCCTCAACTGACAAAAAAAGAAAGAAAGAAAGAAAGAAGGGAAAGAAAGAAGGAAGGAAGGGAAAAAAGAAAGAAAGAAAGAAGAGAAAGAAAAAGAAAGAAAGAAAGAAAAAGAAAGAGAAAGAAAGAAAGAGAAAAATTGAACTTAGATTTTTTTGTGCCAGTCTTGGGGCTTGAACTCAGGGCCTGGCCACAGTCTTGGAGCTTTTTTTGCTCAAGGCTAGTGCTCTCTCATTTGAGCCGTAGCTCCATTTATGGCTTTTTTGGGTGGTTAATTGGAAATAAGAGTCTCACAGACTTTCCTGCCTAGGCTGGCCTTCTCATTTAGTCATGTACAAATATATATATGGCCATTTTTTCTTTAATTTTCTCTTTCTATGTTGTGTGTGTGTGTGTGTGTGTGTGTGTGTGTGTGTGTGTGTGTGTGTGTGCACGCATGCTGGTCCTAGGGCTTGAACTCAGGGCTTGGACACCGTCTCTGACCTCTTTTGCTCAAGGCTAGTGCTGTATCACTTGAATCACAGCTCCACTTCTGGCTTTTCAATGGTTAATTCCTGCCCAGAATGGTTTCAAACTGTGATCCTTGGTTCTCAGCCTCCTGAGTACTAGGATTGCAGGCATGAGCTACCAGGACCTGACTCTAATATTTTTTAATGTACAGAAACCATTTTTTATGGTATGGTACTAGGGTTTGAATTCAGGGTTTTATGCTTGCAAGGCAAGTGCTCTACCACCTGATCCATGCCTCTAGCTTTTCTTGCTTTAGTTTATTTTTAGGTAGGCTCTTGATTTTTCCAGGGTAATTCTCAGACCTTGATCCTCTTACCTGCATAGCTGATATTACAGGTAATACTATACTCCGTTTGTTTAGATAGGATCACATTAACTTTTTGCCTGGACTAGCCATGAACGCTATTCTCCCAGTCTCTGCATCAGGAGAAGCTGGACTACAGGATTACTTTAATATATTTTCTAAAGTTGATAATGTCAAGTGTTTTCTTCTATTATTATTATTATTATTATTATTATTATTTTTGTCAGTTGTGAGGTCTGAACTCAGCCTGGCCACTGTCCTTCAGCTCTTCAGCTCAAGGCTAGCACTCTACCACTTGAGACAGTGCCACTTCCAGTTTTCTGGTGGTTCATTGGAGATAAGAGTCTCACTGACTTTCCTGCCCAGGCTGGCTTTGAACCGTGATCCTCAGATCTCAGCCTCCTGAGTAGCTAGGATTACAGGCATGAGTCACTGGCACCTGGTTGACATATATTTTTAATATGCTGAGGTCAATAGAGACCACACTACTCATTTTACAACATTTCTTTGACTGTTTTCACTTATTTCTTCTTCCTAAACTTAGTAGGCCCAACTTGCTAAGGATTTTTTTTTTTGGGGGTCCAGTCATGGGGCCTGAACTCTGGGCCTGGGCGCTGTCCCTCAGGTCTTCAGCTCAAGGCTAGTGCTCTACCACTTGAGCCACAGCGCCACTTCCGGCTTTTTTCTTTTTGCTTATGTGGTGCTGAGGAATCGAACTCAGGGCCTCGAGCATGCAAGGCAAGCGCTCTACCACTGAGCCACCTTCCCAGCCCCTTGCTAAGGATTTTTTAAAGTGGTACTGGGATTTGAACTCAAGGCCTTTTGCAAGAAATGTGCTTTCAGCACTGTGAAGGTTTTTATTTGTAAAAGCAATGCCTTTGCAGAGTAAGGCAGATGAATTCCTCAGAGCCTTAGTTTTTCCATTTGTAAAATGGGGAAGAGTATATCCTTTTCCTTTCACGTAACTCAGTGTTTTTGAGAATCTAATGAAATGGTTATGAAGATATTTTGGAAAAGAATAATGATCGTGTTTTATATATCTGAAGTAGATGCTTACCCTGGGGTCTTTGAATGAGATATTATATGGATGATAGGATTGCTTTTGCTAAGGAGGCTTTGTCATTGAACTCTCTTTTTCTCACAGAGCGCTTCGACCATCACTGCCCCTGGGTAGGAAATTGTGTTGGAAAGAGGAACTACCGCTATTTCTACCTCTTCATTCTTTCTCTTTCCCTCCTCACAATTTATGTCTTCGCTTTCAACATCGTCTATGTGGCCCTCAGTGAGTATGCAGGGCTGTTGTCTCTGTGGCCAGAATGGGGTGAGGTGGGATAAGACTTCAGGGCTGAGTATGGGGGGCGATTGGGTTTCTGGTGGGAACTTGCCATTTAGGAAGGCACCTCAGGACCACTTAGCAATGAATACTATGGGCCACTTTGAAGCTGACCTATAAACCTCAGCTCATATCAATAGATATTTGCTGTATGTGTTGGCCTTAACTCTAATCCTCTTCTGAAGACTGGAGCCCTGATTACTGGTCTATATCCAGAGAACTGTGCATTTCTGATGCCAAGGTCTGGGAATGTAGTTTTCCTCTGCATAACCTTTCCTCTTCTGCCTTTAAGTCCTACTTTGCACTGGGGAGGAGGGGAAGGTTTTTATCTATCTTTCTTTTTCTTTTTGTTGGTCTTGGGGCTTGAACTCTGGGCCTAGGCACTGTCCCTGAGCTGTTCAGCTCAAGGCAAGCACTTTACCACTTGAGCCACAGAGCCACTTCTGGTTTTCTGGTGGTTAATTGGAGACAAGAGTCTCACAGACTTTCCTGCCTGGGCTGGCTTTGAACCAATGAGTAGCTAGGATTACAGGCATGAGCCACTGGAGCCTGGCTGCTTTCTTTTTTTAACCAAAGAAATGCATTTTAGTAGCTCAGAGTTTACTTTGAGAGGTTGGTAATACATGCCCACATGTATACATGTACACAGACTAGACACACTTACGACCAAGCTAGGGGCAGATGCAGCGTGGAGTAAAGGGAATTCTCTTGATGAAGACAGCTTCCTGGAAAGGAGCTTTGAGTTGAATTTGCAGGAGACAGGTAGAGAGGGTGTTTTGGGACAATTTCTGGTTTCTTTCATCGGTTACTATCCCTCTACATACCTATATTTGGGGACTGGAAAAGGGGAAGTGAGTACAAAGTTTGGCTTCTGCCCAACTGTAATCTTGTGTGTGGTCATGCATTGGAAACACAAACTCCTCAGTCATGAGGCTGCCTGCACGGAGGCAAGACTCTTCACTCTTGACCCAGTGAGAGCTCCTGTCTTGCCTATATATAGCATGAGGTAGAGAGGAAAAGAAGTGAATAGACAGTAGAGTGCTTTATAGTTTTGACTGAATTCACTAATTTTTCTATCTATTCCTCCTTCTAATTTCACAGAATCCTTGAAAATTGGCTTCTTGGAGACGCTGAAAGAAACTCCTGGAACATATCCTTTCCTGGCACTATGTCATTGTAAAGCCTTCTTAAACTACTTTGAAGCATGTTTTCTCCCTCCAGTTCTCCCACCTTCTAGGTTTCTAGACATCAGAGTGTGCCAAAGCCTAAAATTATGAAATATAGTCTAACGGTAGCAACCAGACTAGAAGATGGCCAAGACTTAAAAGGAAGGCCTTTCCCTTGCCTCTTTCTCATCTGCCTACCCCCAGATTCTCCCAAGCTCAGACCTATGTCTCTCTAGCAGGTTGTACTTTGCCTCAGTACACCTTGTATGTATGTCATTTACTGGAAGCTCCACTAGGATTTGTTTTGTACAGTGACTTCATTTCTGAAAAGGATATTTAGAACCATATCTCTTTTTTTTTTTTTTTGTTGGTCATGAGGCTTGAACTCTGGGCCTGGGCCCTCAGCTCTTCAGCTCAAGGCGAGCGCTCTACCACTTGAGCTACAGCGCCACTTCCGGTTTTCTAGTAGTTTATTGGAGATAGGAATCTCACGGTCTTTCCTGCTCGTGCTGCCTTTGAACCGCAATCCTCAGATCTCAGCCTCCTGAGTAGCTAGGATTACAGGAGTGAGCCACTGGCGCCCAGTTCATATCTCATTTCTTTCCTGCTAATTTTTCATTGATTAATTAATTTTGCTGGACCAGGGGCTTGAAAGTCAGCATCTGGGTTCTGTCCCTGTGCTTTGTGTGTGTATGTTGGTAGTAGGGCTTGAACTCAGGGCCTGGGTGCTGTCTCTGAGCTCTTTTACCCAAGGCTAGTTCTCTAAAACTCTTGAGACATAATTCCACTTTCGGCATTTTTGTGGTTAATTGGAGATAAGAGTCTCATAGACTTTTCCTGCCTGGACTGGCTTCAAATCATAATCCTCAGATCATAGACTCCTGAGTGGCTAAGACTACAGGTGTAAGCCACTGATACCCAGCCAAAATTTTATTTTTTGATGAACTTTCCATTGCCAGTGATGGTCAACAGTGGTTAGCTTTTGCCCCTTCCTAAGTATCCTCTTTAAAGAGCCAATGGTGAACAAACAGGCAAATACTTAAATATACTAGAGATGCTAGAAAAATATAGTGAATAAACAAGTCTTTATCTTTCATAAAGGATCTGTCTAGTAAGTTTAGACTTCATCTATTGTTTTATATGAATATTTGACTTTTGTGATGTTGTTGTAAGAGGTAAGGATGGTATAACTTGATGGATTGATACATCAAGTTCCCTAGTGTGACTTCTTCAAAATTCCTTAACCTAGCCTCACTGTTCTAGAAGTTCTCATTTGCTTCTTCACACTCTGGTCTGTTGTGGGACTGACTGGATTTCACACTTTCCTCGTGGCTCTCAACCAGACAACTAATGAAGATGTGAGTCAATTTTCTGTTTTGTACCATATATTCTTTTCCCAAAAGCATATGCTCTTGTTACCTGCTAGAGAACAAAGTCTCTAGGGTCTGGAAGTTTGAGGACTGATATTAGAGGTTGTTAAATCAGATCTATGGAAATGAAGGTGGACTGCTTTGTTTGGAGCTGAATGCTTGTTGGAGTATTAAGAAGAATTTCAAAAGTTAGATGGTCTTTAACTGTTCATAATCCTTAAAGGTTAGCTGAAGGCCTGATGTGATGACACATGCCTGTAATCACAGCTACTGGGAAGCTGAGGCAGGAAGATCATAAATTTGGGTTCAAGGCCAGTCTGTGCTACATAGTGTGATGCTGCTCCAGTCTCTCCTCCAACAAGCGGCTAGTTGATGCTTCTGGGTTGGAATGGGGAAGGATAGGAATAAATCTTTACTTTCTAAAATTTACCAATTCATTCACATTTACTGTAGAAAATTCAGAAAATACACTGGAACATAAAAAAGAAAATAAATCCCTATAACTTTACCTTGTAGGCATCATCTTATTTAATGTATGATTTTTAGGCTTCTGGACTTGGGGTGTGTGTGTGTGTGTGTGTGTGTGTGTGTGTGTGTGTGTGTGTGTGTGTGTGTGTGTGTGTGTGTGTGTGTGTGTGTGTGTGTGTGTGTGTGTGTGTGTGTGTGTGTGTGTGTGTGTGTGTGTGTGTGTGTGCGCGCGCATGCGCATGTGTGTGTATTTGATGGTAATAGGGATTGAATTTAGGTAGGTCCCTGAGCTTGCTATGTGAGCACTCTACCACTTGAGTCATGCCTCTAGCCCCTTTTTACCTTGGTTATACTTTAGATTTTTTTTCTTGCTTTATATCCTTTGGCCAGCCTGGAATGTAATCCTTTTACTTGCACATCTCTGTTTCAGTGGGGATGAGAGTTATATGCCACAGTGCCCAGCAATTGTGCTTCCCCAGTAGCTTGTATGGCAGGCTTATACCACTATACTCAGCCATTGGTTAAGACGGAGTCTTGTAAACTTTTATGCCCATGTTGGCCTCACACCTTGATATCCCAATCCCTGCTTCCCAAGAAGCTAAGATTAGAGGTTTGAGGCCATACACAGCTTATACTATATATTTTTAATGAAAATAGTGCATATTCATGTATCTGAGTTTTTCTTTGTCTTGGAAATGTATTTTCACATCTATATATGCATTTATTTTTTTGTTTCTATGTGTTATACAGGTGGGATTTCATTGTGACATCTTCTTACCTATTTACAATATATTCCAATTAATCTCACCCACTCTATCCCTCTGTCTTCATGTGTTTCTTTTTATTGTGATAAAATATGCACAATGTACCATCTTAGTCATTTTAGAATATACTGTTTGTTGACATTTAATTCATTCACACAATTGTACAGTTATTGCCACATCTACCTCCTGAACTTTTTCATCATCCCATGGTGCGTGAATTTCTTCAGCATCATTTTTTAAAATGTAAGCTTTGACTTTTATTTTGCAGATCAAAGGATCTTGGACAGGGAAGAATCGTGTCCAGAATCCCTACAGTCATGGCAACATTGTAAAGAACTGCTGTGAAGTTCTGTGTGGTCCCTTGCCCCCCAGGTACTTAAGGGTCTAAAAAGTCCTGGGATTCTTGGCACAAACCATTCAATCCCATCCTGTTACCTGGTCTGAGGCATTTCTGAGTGGGGCTTCATGTTGTCAAATAGATTTCCTAGGGATTGTTACATGGTACCATTGTCTACATGGAACCATAGGCCATGGGCTGATTATTTTGAAGGGATGGTCTTTCATTCTTATTTCATTTGTTTGTTCTTTAGTTAATGTGACAGTCACTGGTTTGTAGAACAAAAAGTGAATGGAAGACAGGAGATGTGTGCTAAGAAGATTTACCAAATATATATTTAGGTTTTTCAATATACACAGCATGGTTGTGTATGGGAAGAAGAGTGAAAGCCAGTGGCAAATCCATGATTAACTCTTTTGTCTTCTTCAGTGTGCTGGATCGGAGGGGTATTTTACCATTGGAGGACAGTGGAAGTCGACCTCCTAGTACTCAAGAGACCAGCAGCAGCCTTTTGCCACAGAGCCCAGTAAGTGTTCCTGATTTATGACTGAATTAATGATAACATATAGATTACAATTACTTCTTAGAAATAGAATTAGACAGCTTGGTATCCTAATTTCTCCAGCTTCCTTGGCTTTGCGTGTGCCCTGACATTGCCTTTAGTGCTTTGTGTCCTTGAAACAGATTAATACTTGCTCATTTTTGACATATATTGAGCCAGTCCTTTCCCTCTTCCTTTCCCCCTCCCCTTCACCTTCCCTTCTCTCTCCCTCCCTCTCAATTTTGAGGAATATTGTGGACAGTTTTAAAGAAATAACTCAAATAAGCTTCAGGTGTATTTTGCTGAGAAGATGATATCTTGGTCTTTGGTCTGAGTTTGGCAACAATAGCTGCACATCTTTAGTATCGCTCTGCTCAAAGGCCTCAGAGGAAGACTTCAGTGTCTGTGACTTCTGCACTGGATTTTGGAACACAGCTTGTGTTGAACATCTTATCTTTTTCCTTCTCAGGCCTCAACAGATCATATGAACTCCAATGAGATGCCAGAGGACACCAGCACTCCAGAAGAGATGCCACCTCCAGAGCCCCCAGAGCCACCACAGGAGGCAACTGAAGCTGAGAAGTAGTCTATCTATGGAAGAGACTTTTGTTTGTGTTTAATTAGGGCTATGAAAGAGTTCAGGGGAGAAGATAAATCTGAGACAGAGAACAAATAAGCTTTTACTGTTTTTCTTTGGTCTTTAATCACCCAATTGCATACTGGCATTTTCTTGCTGCAAGCTTTTTAAATTTCTGGACTCAAGGCAGTGGCAGAAGATGTCAGTCACCTCTGACAACTGTACAAATGGGTCTCTGAGGCCCTGGTACTGGTTTTCCATGGCCTTGGTCATGGCACCTCCCTGAATTCCCCTTTCCTCCCTTCAGATCTCAGCTTTCCTGCTTGGGGGTCATTGGTCTCATTCTGGGGCTAAAGATTCTTGAGACTGCCTCAAATCCTTTTAAGCTGGTGCATGTCCTGAGTCCAGAGGCAGTCTCAGAGACCTCCGGCCAGGGAATCCTAATTGGGTTCTTGTTCCTTTAGCATTGATGATGGTTGAAGTGTGAGGTTGGAGGATTCTTCTGGCCACAAATGCAAGCATTGCCAGCCAGTCCTTTTAGGAATAGAGCAGGTACCTTCTACTTATATTTATTCGTGTAGCTTCTCCTTTCTCCTCATCAACTTTCTAACATCCAATCCTTACTCTTCCCCACTAGATATATGTAAGTAGTTGTAGTACAGATAACAGTATTTACATTTCTTGTAGATTCTCCAGAAACTTCAATACCTGTGCTATTCTCAATAAGAATTGATACGATGCCAACAGCATAGCCCCTCATACTCTGTCTCATCTCTCTTCCTTTCTCATTAGCCCACTTTACTTTTATTCCTTTGACTCTTGCTCCCATTAGGAGCTGGAATGGCAGTAATAAAAGTCTGAGCTTTGGTATTCCTTTTCCTCAGAGGAAGCTCAAGTGCTCACTTAAACACTACCCCCTCAGATTCGTTGTGTGAGGCCTGCAATGGTCCTAAATGCACAAATGGGGAAACCAAGGCACAGAGAGGCTCTCCTCTCCTCTCCCTCTATGTCCCCTGAAAAAAAAAGGTTAACCAGTACTTCCATTAAGCCTCGGCTGAGTGAGGGAAAGCCCAGCACTGCTGCCCTCCCGGGTAATCCACTCTAAGGCCTCAGCCCACCTCGGGCAATGGTAACCACACTAGGGGCTTCCTCCAAGCCCCACTCTTCCAGCACTTCCACTGGCAGAGTCCTAGAGCCACTTCACCCTGGGGGTATGCTGTGGCCCCCCTGGTCAGCTCTGCTCAGGACCTGTACTATTTCAGGGAAGAAGATTTATGTATTATATGTGGCTATATTTCCTAGAGTACCTGTGTTTTTCTCTTTCTAAGCCAGGGTCCTGTCTGGATGATTTATGGGGGTTGGGGGTGGGGCGCGGGTGTAAACCAGAACTTTTAATCTATTTGAAGGTGATTAAACTGTGTCTAATGCAAATTGCCTGCCTCCTCCTTCCCCTTCCATTTCAAGAACCACCACGGGGTTGTGAATGTGTTTGTGTGTTGGGTGGGGGGTGGGGGTTGGAAGGGGTTGCTTGTTACTATCCATACTTCCATTTTCCAGGGTACCTTTGGGTTGGAGAGATAGCTCTCAAACTTTCCATTGATCTGTAACATATTCTGGGCCGAAGTTTATCTTATTCTTGACTATGAAGAAAGAACTTTGAAGCAATATACAGTGTGAACAAGATCAGGTGGTAGAGAGATTATAATTGTTTAGGAGAAGTTCTTAGGTTGATGGACACTGTTAATTGCAAATAAATCTTGATTATTAAAAAAGGCTCACTAGGTCCTCACCTTGGAAATACTTCATTAGTGATCTTTACAAGTGATAGTATATATTTCTTTTCAAATGGTCTGTTATCAAGACTCCTTACCAACTTCTATCTTACTCTTCCCAGTTAATTGGAATTGGTGAAATTTGGCTGCTCCCAAATTTTCTCTTGTGTCTTCTGGTTTTCTTTGTAGTAGAATTTGAGTTTAGCATGAAGGGGGAAGGGGGAGGGAGGGAGGGAGAGAGGGAAGAAAGGAGAAAGAGAGAAAGAGAGAGGGGGGAGGGAGTATTGGAAGAGAAACTGGGAGATTGACTCAGATTCATCTCCTGTCTGCTTCTCTTTCTCATTCTATTTCTGCCTCTGTCACTTTTGTTCTCTGAGTTATATTTTAGCTCATAATAAGACCAAGCCTGGAGACTGTGGAAGTTACTTGTTTTTTCAGTCTACCTGTCACTCATGTTGAGCCCCTTTCGAGTTGCCAGTCCATTCTGTCTGAATCCATTTCTCCTGGGCCAGGATGGCATTCTCTCCTCCCTCTATTTACCTCAGCTACTCGTTTGCTGTCCTTTAGACCAGTCAGAAGAGCTTTCTCTTTCTGATGGGAAGGATCAAAATGGAAATCTCTTATTTCTAATGCAAAATGATACTGTTAAATTTCTGCTTTATTCTTTGCTCTCTTTTATTTCATAATTCTTGGTATTTCAAGACCTTGGCCTTAAGATCTGCCCCATTCATCCCATATACCCTAGTCTGAGCTCTAATCAGAGGAGAGGTTGAAGGAATGATCTTTCCCCAGGGAAAAAGGTCATATATTGTTTGATCTTTTCAATGGCTGCCACTCTCTCCAACTCTCCCCTTCCTCCCCATTCCTCATGTTTCCTATGTACCCACCCCACTTCCCCAGGCCAGGATAGTTGGCCCAGATCCAAAACCTCTGGGAGTGGTTGGAATTTATGTTCTTTTGACTCTGGGGTCCTCCTGGCCCTAGCTAAGGTCATCATGTCCCCCTTTGCATTTTCCCCAGGAGCGGGGTGGGGTTAGATGTGGGTTCTATTTCTATAGCAGCTAAATTTCATTTTTCTGTTCTGACCATCCTGCCTTTACCCCTAAGACCCCTTTTCCTACTGACCAAATCTCTTTACCTTGTTGGGAAAAAGTATTTTGTTTTTAAATCTATTTTCTGACTTAATGCAATTTAATATGTAAATCTCTGCACTTTTGTGTGAGCCTACAAATGTGTATGTGTTGGAGTTTTTTCACTCTCTGGTATTTCTTAATAAAGAAATCTTTCTTTCGGGGGGAAGCCAATTAATGAAGGAGACTTGAATGGTTCTAGAAATACAGGGCTGTCTGTTTCTTTGTGCCTCTGCCTCATTTCTTGTGCCTAGTGTGAATGGTTGGGCCCCTCCTCTACCTTTTGATCCCCTTCATTTGAGAGAGCTCAGTGTAGTGGGCCAGAGAAGAGAGACCTGTCCTCTATCTGGTTCTACTCTGGAACCATTTGGATTGGCTCCAGTGGTGACCTGGCATTTTGTTCCCATGGCCAGCCTGACCCTGTTCTTCTATCTCAGGTCATTTCCTGCTCCTGAAGGGGAAGCCAAGTTAAGGAAAGTCACCAAGGGATCAGTATATTTTTAAAAATAATTTATTTTCATTTGGTGCTACTAAAGAAGAGCCATGATTCCAATAATGCAAAAAGCATTTGCATCACTGTTGAGAATACATTCTAGGAATCTCTTGTAGCTTTTAGGTGATAGATTTTAGCAATAGCTTCAAGGACTCAAGTTCTGACTATCTTCAGTTTTTTTTTGGGGGGGGGAGGGGTCCGGTCATGGGGCCTGAACTCTGGGCCTGGGCACTGTCCCTCAGCTCTTCAGCTCAAGGCTAGCGCTCTACCACTTGAACCACAGTGCCACTTCCGGCTTTTTTCTTTTTGCTTATGTGGTGCTGAGGAATCGAACCCAGGGCCTCAGGCATGCAAGGCAAGCGCTCTACCACTGAGCCACCTTCCCAGCCCACTATCTCCAGTTTTAAAGGATGCAAGCCCAACACACACACACAAAAATGGTGGATTTCATGTTTTGGATAAATATGAAAGAATGGAAAGCATAAATCTGTATCTGTAAAATTTTCAGATGTCCTATACAACATGAATATAGGTGAAAAAATTGGTAAAATTTAGCCTGGCCTAGATTTTCATAAACACAATGATCTTATAATATTACTGTTTTGAGGAATGCAACAGCTGTGTAAATTGGGGAATTCACTGAATTCTTCATAACTTTGGAAAATCATGCCACTTGCCAGCATTCATGGATATATAAGTTGCCAATACAACCTGCCTATGTAAGTCTGTTTTTAGAGATTGCATCTAGTCTGTTTTTAGTGATTGCATCTAACTGATTCTATAGATAGGTGGAAGCCTGCCATACTTTATTATAGGATTTATTATATTTCCTAGGTATTTGTATATTGAAATACATGTTATCTTAAATAATTTTCTTTTTGTTTTCCCCTATGGTACAATTAGTATAATTGGCCCTCCACATCTGTAGGTTCTATATCCACAGATTTAACTTGCCTTAGTGTGGAAGATATTTTTTTTTGTTGGCCCTGGGACGAATTCAAGGCTTGGATGCTGTCCCTGAGCTTCTTTTTGTTCAAGGCTAGCATTCTACCACTTCAACTACAGCTCCATATCCAAGGAAATATTTTTCTTAATCACATGTATAAGTTCAGCACCGGTGCCTCACACCTGTAATTCTAACTACTGAGATCTGAGGATTGCAGTTCAAAGCCAGCCTGGGCAGAAAAGTCCCTGTGAGATTCTTATTTCCAATAAACCACTCAAAAACCAGAAGTATACTGTGTTTCAAGTGGTAGAGCTCTAGCCTTGACCACAAAGAGGCTCAGGGACAGCACCCAGACCCTGAGTTCAAGCCCCACAACCAACCAAAGAAAATTTCAAGTATAGGTGTTCATTGGTAGCTACTCAGCAGAATGAGATTTGAGGATCTGTTTGAAGCCAGACTGGGCAAGAAGGTTCCAAAGATTCTTATCTACAATTAACCACCAAAAAGCTACAAGAAGAGCTATGGCTCAAGTGGTAGCCTTGAGTGAAAAAGCTAAGAGAGAGCTTGAGGCCCTGAGTACAAGACCCAATATTGGCACCCTAAAAATTTCATCTGTACTAAATATATACATTTTTTCATCATTTTAAACCATACAGTGTATAAACCATTCACATAGGATTTACATTGAATTATATATTATAATTATTGGAGAAATGATTTAAACTACATAGGAGGGTATGCATATTACTCCATGCAAATACTGTATCATTTTACATGAAGAACTTGCTATCAGCAGATATCCGTATTCTTGAGAAGGAATGGGGAACAGTGGAACCAATCCCCCATGGATAATGCAAGATGATTGTATATCATTGCTGTTCTTGAAAGTATAAGTAGATTTAATTCTGAAGTTCATTTCAGGGTGGCAAATGGTGCATAAGAAAATATTATGTAGCAAGGGAACATTGGGATTGCTAGAGTTGAGAACCACTGGACCAAATTACTTCAGAGGTTCTTTTCTATTTTGAAGTATCTGAAAAGCTTAGAGGGAAAAAAGAACATTTCTCTCTCCATTTACATCTTTGGTGTGCTTTAAATTAAGAACAAACCAAGACATATACTGGTGCTGGTGGTTCACACCTGTAATCCTAGCTACTCAAGAGGCTGAGATCTGAGGATTGCAGTTTGAAGCCAGCCCAGGCAAGAAAGTCCATGAGACTCTCATCTCCAATAAACTACCCAGGAAAAGCCTGAAGTGGTGCTGTGGCTCAAATGGCAGAGCACTAGCTTTAAGCAAAGGAAGCTCAGGGATAGTTGCCCAGGCCCAGACTTCAAGCCTCATGACCGGCAAAAAACAAAAACATAACTTACTGCTGAGTGTCTGTGGCTCATATCCATAATCCTAGCTACTCAGGAGGCTGATATCTAAGGATCAAAGTTGGAAGTAAGCCTGGGCAGAAAAGTCCATTTCCAGTTAACCAGCAAAAAGCCAGGCTGGAGTTGTGGCTCAAGTGGTAGAGTGACAACTATGACCAAGGAAACTGAACAAGTGCAAGCCAGGAGTTGAAGTTCTGTTATCAGCAAAAAAAGAGACCTAAAACCAAATCCCAAATATATTTCATTGTTAAAAACTATTAAAGTATAGGAAAGTAAGGAGATTAAAAAACATCACCCATAATATTATCACCAAGACATAATAACTAGTTTGTTTCCATATCTTGGAGTTCCTGTATATATGATATCATTTATCATATATATGCACATAAGCATTGCTGCTTTGTGTTTCCTGTTATTCTTGTTTTCTACACATGTATATGTTTAAACATAGCAAGAATTCAATTACAAGTGTAGTTTTTAAAATCTCATTTTAACAGCATTTTCCATATCATCAGAAACTATTTGAAAATACTTAATGATTCTATAACATGAATAAAACCCTTTCCCCCTAGAGTCAGACATTTAGAAGTTTCCAGTTTTTATTATAAATAGTGTTGTGGTGAACTTCCTTATATATGAGCATATCTTGTGATTACATCTTTAGAATAATAGAAGTGGAGGTGAGTCAAAGGGAATGCTTTTTTAAAGACTCTTGATGAGCTGGGAATGTGGTTTATGGTAAAGTGCTTGCCTAGTGTGTATGAAGCCCTGGGTTTGATTTCTCAGTACCACCACATAAACAGAAAAAGCTGGAAGTAGTGCTGTGGCTCAAGTTGTAGAATGTTAGCCTTGAGCAAAAGCAGTTCAGGGACTGTGCCAAAGCCCTAAGTTCAAGCCCCAGGACTGGCAATAAATAAATAAACAAAAAAGACTCAATAAGGCCAATTGCCTTACAGAAAGCCTGTTCAGCTTGTTCTGCTGCAGTTTATCAGAAAGCCTGCCTCAATCCATCTTATTTAAGCATTGATACAGTAATTTAATAGTTGTAAATTTGTAGCTCAGTGTAGTGTAGTCTGTTTCATTGGTGAGCTTGCACATTCTGCCTCTTCTCTGTCACACACACACACACACACACACACACACACACACATTGCCATTTGTATTTCTTTAAACTATCTGTCCAAGTCCTTTATCTGTTTTTCTTTTAATATTAAATGTTTTTTTTACAACCAATTAATGCATGAGAACATAGAATTCACACTTTACC